TTTCCTTCAGTTTTGAAGCCAACGGTCACCTACCCATCGATGGGTAGATGCTTGCCATCGCTGGGTGGGAGGTTGACTTTCAAATAAGGAAAGAATCAGCCTTAAATAACTCGCAACGGTCATGCCTTCCCATCGATGGTTAAGCCTTCCCATCGCTGGGTTCCCATCGATGGGTAACGCTTCCCATCGCTGGGTAAGGGCATTCTGCCTTGTGGTAATGTTGCACCAAGGCTTTAACATCGATGGGTAGAACTTCCCATCGCTGTTTGGCATGGTTCTGGAAGTTGGTTTGGCTAAGGGACTGCTTACCCATCGATGGGAAGATCTTCCCATCGCTGGGTGGCATGATTCTGGAATCCCAGGATCACTTACCCATGCATGGGTGAAATCTACCATCGCTGGGTAGATGGCTAGCCCAGAACCATGGCCTAGCCGACCGGCGCTGAAACCCGACCGAAAAATGCAAAGTTCTATAAAGTAAAAACTAAGTATTTAAAACACTTATTTAATGTATTTTTATGTCAAAAAAAGCTTTGTAAGTTGAAAACCACGTCGTTAAGGTAAAAACCACAGTTGACCAAGTCAACACCGTACACGGGTGGTTTTCACCAAAAGACAAAACCGAAATGTGGTTTTCATGATGTTTTGATTGGAGAACCATTTAAATGCATTCAAAAACAATTCCCACAAAAAAAGACTCGAAAACCACTTCATTTAAGTGAAAACCATGGCTAGCCAAGTTTATGCCATTTCGCGTGGTTTTTATCAAACGACAAAAAACGAAAGGTGGTTTTTGAAGTGTTTTTGATGGATACTATTTAAATGTGCCCAGGAATAAAAACCAATCATAAAAAGTTGAAAACCACTTGGTTAGTTCGGACGCCAAAAACCAACGCCGAAAACCGAATGCCGAACGCCGGTTTCTAAAACCAGAACGCCGGATGGCTTGGTTTTTGGTTTGGGCGAACACCAAGTTTTTTAATGTTTTAAACATGTTTGAAAAACATTTTTATGATGTGAAATGCAATGAAAAGAATTTTAGCCTAAAGAGCCAAGGTGTAAAGATTGGGTCGGTCTTGATCACAATTGTGACCGACTCAACGACACTAAGACTACGGTCTCCGTTCTTGGTCTTCTTTTGTCCCTTGTTCTCTTTCTTCTCATCTTTGGTTCTCGCCTTGTATATTCAATGACTTGTCTCGTTCACGGCGGTTTGGCATTATCAAAACCTGTCATAACAACGAACACGGCTTTAGTATGGAAACGTGATAAACCCGTGTTTCAACACTCATCTATGTTACTGGAGCACTATCGTCTATGGACTGAAGCTATGTTATGTTACACGAGATATAAAACATACTTCAAGGCCTTTCATTAATGATAAAGTGTACAGTTACATAGGTATTTGATTGCCGCTAGGGCACCTAAATACAACAATCTCCCAGTTGCCCTAAGGCCAATCAAGCGTTTCTCGAATGTCCATCGACCACGTCAACGTCCCCACATGCAACGATTTCTCGTATGATGTGATAACGTCTAACGATGTGTTTGGTCTTCTGGTGAGACCGAGGTTCTTTTGCTTGTGCAGTTGCCCCATTGTTGTCGCAAAACAACGGTATAGGGTTCTTGATGCTAGGAACCACTCCAAGCCCAGTAATAAAATTCTTGAGCCACACACCTTCCTTGGCTGCCTCGGCTGCAGCCATGTACTCTGCTTCTGTAGTGGAATCAGCGGTAGTATCTTGCTTGTAACTCTTCCAGGTAACAGCTCCGCCATTCAAACAAAACACATACCCTGCATGTGACTTGAAGTCATCTCTATCAGTCTGGAAGCTGGCATCAGTATATCCGACAATACTGAGCTCTTCTTTTCCACCATATACCAGGAAGGCATCCTTAGTCCTAGGAAAGTACTTAAGGATGTTCTTCACAGCCGTCCAATGGCTTTCACCAGGGTTGGACTGGTATCTACTCGTGACACTCAAAGCAAAGGCGACATCAGGTCTCGTACATACCATCGCATACATGATGGATCCAATGGCCGACGCATAAGGAACATTTCTCATGCGTTCTACTTCCTCTGGAGTGGAAGCACCCTGAGTCTTGGAAAGACTCGTGCCTTGGACCATAGGCATACTTCCTCGTTTCGATTCAGACATGCTGAATCTAGCGAGGACCTTGTCTATGTATGTACTTTGACTGAGACCTAACAGCTTCTGTGATCTATCCCTATAGATCCTTATGCCAAGTGCATAACTGGCATCTCCCAAGTCCTTCATAGAGAAACTCTTACTCAACCACGTTTTGACGGTGGTTAAAGTAGGAATATCGTTTCCTATGAGAAGTATGTCATCAACATACAGAGCAAGGAAGACTACAGCACTCCCACTGACCTTCTTGTATACACAAGTTTCATCCGAATTTCTCTCAAAACCAAAGTCGATGACAGTTTCGTGAAAGCGGATGTTCCAACTCCGTGAGGCTTGCTTCAATCCGTAGATTGATCACTGCAACTTGCATACCTTGGTAGATTCTTTAGGAGCGCAAAACCCTTCAGGTTGTGTCATAAAGACATCCTCAAGGAGGTTTCCATTAAGGAAAGCCGTTTTGACGTCCATCTACCAGATTTCGTAATCGTGGATTTAATCATGACAACTGGAGAAAACGTTTCGTCATAGTCGATACCATGTATTTGACGATATCCTATTGCTACCAATCGTGCCTTGAAGGTTTGCACCTTACCATCCATGTCAGTCTTCTTTTTGAAGACCCATTTGCACCCAATGGGTTTGATCCCTTCGGGTGCATCAACCAAAGTCCATACTTGGTTGGTGTACATGGAATCCATTTCGGACTGCATGGCTTGACGCCATTTCTCAGCCTCGGGACAACTGATTGCCTCGAGGTAGGTCTCTGGCTCATCCTGGTCGATAAGCATTACGTCACCCTCAAAGGTTAGGAGGAATCCATACCTTTCAGGTTGTGTTCGTGACCGGTTAGACCTACGGGGTTCTTGTGTATCTTGAGCATTTTGAGGTACAACAGTTTGTTCTTCTAGCTCATGTTCCTGAACCAGCGCGGTAGTTTCTTCGTCGTCTCGAATTTCTTCAAGCTCTATCTTTCTTCCACTAGTTGCGTTGGAGAGAAATTCCTTCTCGAGGAAGACACCACTGCGAGCAACGAATACCTTCTTATCGATAGGGTGATAGAATGAATACCCTCGAGTTTCCTTTGGGTCTCCCACGAACAAACACTTATCAGACTTGGCATCAAGCTTGCCATTCGTCAAAAGACGTTTGACATAAGCCTCACAGCCCCAAATCTTTAAGTGTGATAGAACCGGGCATTTGCCCGTCCATAGCTGGTATGGTGTTCCTTCAACCGCCTTGGTTGGAACTCGGTTAAGAGTATATATTGCAGTGCTCATCGCATACCCCCAGAATGATTCTGGTAGAGTCGAATGACCCATCATAGAACGAACCATGTCAAGCAGGGTTCGATTCCTCCTTTCAGAAACGCCATTCCATTGTGGAGTGCCAGGAGGTGTGAATTGGGATAAAATCCCATGCTCTCTAATATAGTCATCAAACTCACCACTTAAGTATTCTCCACCTTGTTGAAACATGGGTTTATCATGTCTTCGTACTGAAGTCGTGTTTGTTTTTATGACAGGTTTTGATAATGCCAAACCGCCGTGAACGAGACAAGTTGTTGAATATACAAGGCGAGAAATAAATATAAGAAGAAAGCAAGAGAACAAGAGCTAAAAGAGATCAAGAACGAAGACCGTAGTCTTTAGCATCGTTGAGTCGGTCACAATGTGATCAAGACCGACCCAAGCTTTGCACTTTGGCTCGTTAGGCTAAAACATTTTTTATTGCATTTTACATATCATCAAAATTATCTTCAAACATGCTTAAACACATTAAAAACACTTGGTGTTTGCCCAAACCAAAAAACAAGCCATCCGGCGTTCGGGTTTCAGAAACCGGCGTTCGGCATTCGGTTTTCGGTGTTGGCTTTTGGTGTCCGAACAAACCAAGTGGTTTTCAAAATTTTATGATTTGTTTTTACTTATGGACACATTTAAATAGTTTTCCATCAAAAACACTTCAAAAACCACCTTTCGTTTTTTGTCGTTTGATAAAAACCATGCGAAACCACATAAACTTGGCTAGGCGTGGTTTTTACTTAAATGGAGTGGTTTTCGAGTCTTTTTGTGTGGGAATTGTGTTTGAATGCATTTAAATGGTTCTCCAATCAAAACATCATGAAAACCACCTTTCGGTTTTGTCTTTTGGTAAAAACCACCCGTGTACAGCATTGACTTGGTCATCCGTGGTTTTTACCTTAACGACGTGGTTTTCAACATACAAAGCTTATTTTGACATAAAAATACATTAAATAAGCGTTTTAAACACTTAGTTTTTACTTTGGAGAACTTTGCATTTTTTGGTCGGGTTTCAGTGACGGTCAGCTAAGCCATGGTTCTGGACAAGCCATCTACCCAGCGATGGTAGAGTTCACTCATGCATGGGAACGTGATCCCTGGATTCCAGAATCATTTCACGCAGCGATGGGAGATATTACACATCGATGGGTAAGCATCCTTCAACCCAATTGAATTCCAGAACCATGCCAAACAGCGATGGGAAGCTCTACCCATCGCTGTTAAAGCCTTGGTCCAACATTATCACATGACAGACTGCCCTTACCCAGTGATGGGAAGCTTTACCCATCGATGGGAACCCAGTGATGGGAAGGCGTAACCATCGATGGGAAGGCATGACCGTTGGAAGTCATTTAAGGCTGATTCTTTCCTTATTTGAAAGTCAACCTCCCACCCAGCGATGGGAAGCATTTACCCATCGATGGGTAGGTGACCGTTGGCTTCAAAACTCAAGGGAAATTGGCTTACCAGCGATGGGTAAGTCCCTAACATCGATGGGAAGCCAATATCCTGCAGATCCCAAATCTTTTCAATCCCATAAATCAAGCCAATCACCCCTTTAATGTATTGGTCCGTTGGAGCCTATTTTGGCACTATAAAAAGGGGTGTTTGGGTATGATTTACACATCCATTCACTTCACAATATTCATATTATCATTGCATTCAAACAACATCATTTTTCATAGCTTTCTAGAGCCAAATTGTGAAGTTTGAGTTGTTCTTGAGCGTATATAGTTTACTCAACATCTACTCTAAAAGAGAGCCTTGTTCTTGAGTGTCTTACTGTTGTATACACGTTAAGGGAAGCTTGTTTCCCTTGGTTGTACGAAGGAAAGGTATTTTCCTTCGGGCTGAAGTCTTGGAGTGCGGTATCTCCGAGCAAGTGTTGTTGAGGCTCGTGGGACTCGAGTTCTCAGGTTGTAATGGTTTGTTAAGCACCCGTAAGCTTAACGGAAGTAGTGTAGCTCGAGAGAGTCTCTCGGGAGACTGGATTAGCCACACATTGTGGTGAACCAGTATAAATCTTAGTGTGCTCCCTTTACGCCTTCTACGCTCTTTACTTTTCACGTTCTTAATTTTTTATTCCTGCGATTTCTACGATCAAATGCTATTCACCCCCCCCCCCCTCTAGCGTTGGTCACTTATTCTAACAATTGGTATCAGAGCCCAACTCTCTACAAGCCTTAACAGGTTGAGCTCTACATTTTTTTGTTGAGAATGTCGTATGCAGGATTAAGCGAAAGACACTCCACCGTTAGACCTCCACTCTTCGATGGAACAAACTACACCTATTGGAAGGAACGAATGAGGATTTACATTCGGTCAATCAACTTCCAACTATGGTTAATCATCAAAAACGGTGAGACGACGCCAATGAAAAGGGTTGGTGAAACCACCATCCCAAAGAAGGTGGAAGAATATGATGCTGAAGACATCAAGAAGGTAGAAGCTTTTGAAAAAGCTAAACACGTGAGTTTTTGTGCAATTAACCCGGATGACTACCGGAAAATCTCTTCTTGCTCCACCGCAAAAGAAATGTGGGATAAGCTTGAAGTGACATACGAAGGTACGCCTCAAGTCCGTGAAGCTAAAATTGATTTTCTAACCCATGAATATGAGTTGTTTAAAATGAAGTAAATTGAAAGCGTTGATCAAATGTTCGACCGATTTTTAAAGATCATCAACGATCTCCATGTCCTTGGTAAAACATACTCGAACAAAGATCTTGTTCAAAAAATCCTTTGGAGCTTAACATCAGAATGGCGTTCAAAAGCCGATGCCGTATATGAGTCAATTGGTAACACCAATGTCACCATCGATGCTCTTCGAGGTAATCTTAAAACTTATGAATCTACTGTTCTTAAACCTTTTCTTCACAAGAGTCCCGGTCTCGCTCTAAAAGCCTCATCCTTAAAAAGGGTAGAGGTAAGTGACTCCGATAGAGATGACGATAATCCTTCTTATAACTTGCTCGAGAAGTTCCAAGAGGTTTTGAAGGAAGAACTTAGGTCCCGAGATTGTAAAAGAAAGGGGGAACCCATTCCAACGTGCTTTGGTTGTGGAGAACTTGGCCACGTAAAGCCATATTGCCCATACTGCAAGGAAAAGAAGAAGAAGGAACGAGCATACATGGCATGGGATTCGGAAAGTTCTGGTGACGAAACTGCCACCTTATGTCTTATGGCTCATGAACGAAATGGAGAGGTAAGTACTTCTAACTCTTTCTCATTTGAAGAATTACAAGAAGTGCTTCAAGAATTATTTGGTGAATTCAAGAAAACTTCAAAAATTGCCAAAGAGGCTAAGGCAAAAATTCAGGCTTTGGAAGAGGAAATTAAATTTTTGGAAAATGACAATTTTGACCTTAAAAATAAGATTAAGTCAATGAATGAAGCTTCTTCCTTTGGCCTATGTTCTACTTGTTCCTCTTGTGAGTCTTTAAAAATAGAGAATGTAGAACTTAAGAGCATCATAGAAAAGCTTAAGGTAGAAGAACCTAAGAAACTTGGTGAAGAAGTTAATAATGATAGACCACCTAGAGGAACTAATAATCCTAGGTATAACAAAATTAATTTTAGAAAGAATAAAAGTAACAAGGTAAGACAACCTAGAATTGACTCTAGGATTTTTACAAATGGTAGAAATATTTTGAGACAACCTAGAAATGAGTCTAGAAATTTAGTCAATAATTCTAGGAATGATGACTTTAGATCACCTAGAAAGCTTTTGGCTCAACCTAGGCATATGCATAATCCAAACGTTGTATGCCATTATTGTTCTAAGATAGGACACATAGCTCCCGTCTGTTTTGCTAAACATAGGGACACTTCTTATAATTATGATTATGATTTTTATTTGCCTAACCCTCAAGGACCCAAAAGTTTTTGGGTACCTAAAAATTATTATTAGATGCATATGTAGGTGTGTTTGAAGACTACATTTTTGTAGTGGATGCTCCAAGCACGAAACCTAATAATTTGCATCAAGGGGAGTTTAGGGGGAGTTGTTTTTGCTATAAACATGGTATCATTTTTAGGGGGAATATACAACAATGATGTTTTGTATCAAACATCAATGCTCAGGGAGTACCCTTTTTTTAAAAAAAACTTTACTTAGTGCTTTTTGCTAATGCCAAAAGGGGGGTGTTTGGGTATATGCAACAAGTGAGGGGGGATCTTGTTTTCAAAGACGTATGGGGAATTACCATTACTCTATCTTTAAAAACCCAACTTGGCCTGCATATCCCCTCCTTGGTTTGTCATTATCAAAAAGGGGGAAATTGTTGAAACATGGGTTTATCGTGTCTTCGTACTAAAGCTGTGTTTGTTTTTATGACAGGTTTTGATAATGCCAAACCGCCGTGAACGAGACAAGTTGTTGAATATACAAGGCGAGAAATAAATATAATAATAAAGGAAGAGAAAAATAGCTAAAAGAGATCAAGAACGAAAACCGTAGTCTTTAGCGTCGTTGAGTCGGTCACAATGTGATCAAGACCGACCCAAGCTTTGCACTTTGGCTCTTTAGGCTAAAACATTTATTATTGCATTTTACATATCATCAAAATTATCTTAAAACATTCTTAAACACATTAAAAACACTTGGTGTTTGCCCAAACCAAAAACCAAGCCATCCGGCGTTCGGGTTTCAGACACCGGTGTTCGGCATTCGGTTTTCGGCGTTGGCTTTTGGTATCCGAACCAACCAAGTGGTTTTCAAAATTTTATGATTTCTTTTTACTTATGGACACATTTAAATAGTTTTCCATCAAAAACACTTCAAAAACCACCTTTCGTTTTTTGTCGTTTGATAAAAACCATGCGAAACGGCATAAACTGTGCTAGGCGTGGTTTTTACTTAAATGGAGTGGTTTTCGAGTCTTTTTGTGTGGGAATTGTTTTTGAATGCATTTAAATGGTTCTCCAATAAAAACATCATGAAAACCACCTTTCGGTTTTATAACACCCTAATCCGTCCAGGTCTGTAGCCCCTTTCGGACTAAAGTATTGATTTGGTAATCGTGATAATTTAAAAAAATTCAAACATTTTTATTTATAAATAATATTCCATACATAATTTTAGAAAATACGGAGTGTTTAATAATAATGCGGAAGCGACTTTTAAACATGTCTCATAACAACATAATTATTTATTTTTGTTCAATGATCCACCACGACTGTCTCGCCCCTTCTGCTGCCAGGAATCAGCCAATCATTCATTCTACCTACCTGCGTGTAGCAAATAAAACACACTACACGCTCAGCGGTGAAGCTGAGTAAGCATATCTAAAGCGTCGAACATCCAAATAAATTGAATCTCAATTCATAATCAACCATTTGATATCATGCACACAATATATGATTCAGACATTCATGATATTCTCAATATTTTATTTTAAGTCATTTGATATTTAATATCTCAACCATGTTCTTAAATTATTCTTAATCTAAGGCCAAATCATTTTATAATAAGCTCTTAGCTATTCCTAGTCTAAGGCACATTTCTAACCAGGCCCTTAAACTATAAATAAATAGTTTAATGCAGAACACGAGAATCAATAATCCACCCTATGAGTCATGTGGATTACGTACCAACCGAACAATGATTTGTCGGGTGGGTGATATCCGGTCTGGATCCCGTACGTACGTTTTAACCCGAAATATGAATTGGTCAAGTAGGTATATCTTAGAGTTCTTCTAGATATCCTTAATAATCATCATCAATATACAAGTGGGTATATCTTAGAGTTCTTCTAGATATCCTTAANGTCATGTGGATTACGTACCAACCGAACAATGATTTGTCGGGTGGGTGATATCCGGTCTGGATCCCGTACGTACGTTTTAACCCGAAATATGAATTGGTCAAGTAGGTATATCTTAGAGTTCTTCTAGATATCCTTAATAATCATCATCAATATACAAGTGGGTATATCTTAGAGTTCTTCTAGATATCCTTAACAATATACAATGTTTTCATAATCACCATTAATTCATTTTTTTTAATCATGACTTAATCATCAATAATCATTTTAATCAGTAGGTTTATCATTCATAATTATCCATAATAATTATTCATCATAATGATCATTCAACATAATATTTAATAGAAAACTACGGCCTAGTCTCGGGTGTTAACACCCGAATTTATCGTCATGCATCACATAATGTTTTATATGCCAAAAACATCATTTATTATACAAAATCATATTTAAATTGTTCTTAATTAATTAGTATTTTCAAAGAATATTTCCAAGAATATTTTCGGGACACTGGAATTGAGGAAAAATCGATTTATTCAATAAATTAATATAAAAATCGATTTTTGAATATATATTAATCTATTAAATTTATAAAATCGATTTTTCAACATATTTTAATCGATTAATTTGTAAAATCGATTTTTCAACATATTTTAATCGATTAATTTGTAAAATCGATTTTAATATATATTTTAATCGATTAAATACAAAAAATCGATTTAATACCTTAATATAGTCGATTATTTTTTTTTTGATACACGTTATCTGAACAAGTTTTAATCGATTTTTAGGAAGAAAATAATCGATTTTATATCACTGTTCATCGTGTTCTACCTTCGGTCCATTTTCGGACATATCAATTTTAGTTACTAAACTTCAATTAAACTATATAGAAATGTTGTCCAAGGTTCATAGATCATTTTAGAATCATTAAAACATATTTTTAACATCAAATTCAAGGTTTATGATTCTTGGTTCTTCAAACATGTCAAACACAAAACTCAACCAAATGACCATTTATGAACGTAAAAACAACCTATATGAACATTCTAATCTTTAGATATATCTACGGGCTTACCTTGAAGCGTAGGGGAGGTTTTGAAGATTTTCCGGTGAACCTTCCGGCGACTCTATCTCACTGCTCCGGCGACCTCACACAAAGATGACAACACCACTGCACTCTACTCTCAGCAAGGAACAATATAGAAGGAAGAATGAATTTTTTTGGTGATGAAATGAGGGAGTTGGGTTGTCCTTAAATAGCCCAGGGAAGAAGAAGAAGAATTCACAGGTTTGCAGCTTCCGTGATTTAGCGACGATTTGGAATCGGCGTAATTGAACAGGGCGCCGTTTGGTGTGTAGTCCCTGATTGGGACTAATTTTGGTCCCAGTTAGGGTACAATTTTTGTTTCAACTTTCTCCAAATTGAAATCCGATTGAACCGTTGGGATCAGACAGTCAAACTCTACATAATGATATGATTTTCATTATTTATTGACAAACTTTAGAATTTACTTATTTTTGGGTCCTTCTCAGTAATTAATTAATTATAAATTAATTAACTCTGATAGGCCTATTTTTGGGGCGTTACAGGTTTTGTCTTTTGGTAAAAACCACCCGTGTACAGCATTGACTTGGTCATCCGTGGTTTTTACCTTAACGACATGGTTTTCAACATACAAAGCTTATTTTGACATCAAAATACATTAAATAAGTGTTTTAAACACTTAATTTTTACTTTGGAGAACTTTGCATTTTTTGGTCGGGTTTCAGTGCCGGTCGGCTAAGCCATGGTCCTGGACAAGCCATCTACCCAGCGATGGTAGAGTTCACCCATGCATGGGAAAGTGATCCAGGGATTCCAAAATCATTTCACGCAGCGATGGGAGATATTACACATCGATGGGTAAGCATCCTTCAGCCCAATTGAATTCCAGAACCATGCCAAACAGCGATGGGAAGCTCTACCCATCGCTGTTCAAGCCTTGGTCCAACATTATCACAAGGCAGAATGCCCTTACCCAGCGATGGGAAGCTTTACCCATCGATGGGAACCTAGCGATGGGAAGGTGTAACCATCGATGGGAAGGCATGATCATTGGAAGTCATTTAAGGATAATTCTTTCCTTATTTGAAAGTCAACCTCCCACTCAGCGATGGGAAGCATTTACCCATCGATGGGTAGGTGACCGTTGGCTTCAAAACTGAAGGAAAATTGGCTTACTAGCGATGGGTAAGTCCCTAACATCGATGGGAAGCCAATATCCTGCAGATCCCAAATCTTTTCAATCCCATAAATCAAGCCAATCACCCCTTTAATGTATTGGTCCGTTGGAGCCTATTTTGGCACTATAAAAATGGGTGTTTGGGTATGATTTACACATCCATTCACTTCACAATATTCATATTATCATTGCATTCAAACAACATCATTTTTCATAGCTTTCTAGAGCCAAATTGTGATGTTTGAGTTGTTCTTGAGCGTATATAGTTTACTCAACATCTACTCTAAAAGAGAGCCTTGTTCTCGAGTGTCTTAGTGTTGTATACACGTTAAGGGAAGCTTGTTTCCCTTGGTTGTACGAAGGAAAGGTATTTTCCTTTGGGCTGAAGTCTTGGAGTGCGGTATCTCCGAGCAAGTGTTGTTGAGGCTCGTGGGACTCGAGTTCTCAGGTTGTAACGGTTTGTTAAGCACCCGTAAGCTTAATGGAAGTAGTGTGGCTCGAGAGAGTCTCTCGGGAGACTGGATTAGCCACACGTTGTGGTGAACCAGTATAAATCTTGGAGTGCTCCCTTTACGCCTTCTACGCTCTTTACTTTTCACGTTCTTAATTTTTTATTCCTGCGATTTCTACGATCAAACTCTATTCACCCCTCCTCTAGCGTTGGTCACTTATTCTAACACACCTCGATCGAATCGTAGTGTTTTAATACTTTTTCCAAGTTGTTTTTCAACTTCATTCCTAAATTCTTTGAACATTTCAAAGGATTCTGACTTGTGTTTCATGAGATACACATAGCCATATCTACTGAGGTCATCAGTAAAAGTGATGAAGTATAGAATAACCACCTCGTGCAGTTGTATTAAAAGGCCCGCACACATCACTATGAATGAGTGCTAGAAGATCACCAGCTCTTTCACCATCTCCGGTGAAAGGAGATTTGGTCATCTTACCCAATAAACAAGATTCGCATGTGTCATATGATTCAAGATCAAATGACTCTAGCATTCCCGACCGATGTAGCTTGGATATGTGTTTCTCGTTTATATGGCCTAACCTACAATGCCATAGGTATGTTTGGTTCAAACTGTTCGGTTTGTTCCTCTTGGCTGACATGTTATAGACAGGCATGTCCAAGTCAAGGACATATAACCCATTGGTCATATTGGCATTAGCATAGAAAACATTCTTTCTGTAAACGGAAAGGGACTTGTCTTTAATAGAAATGATGAAACCACTCTTATCAAGACATGAAACAGAAATAATGTTTCTGCTAGTTGCAGGAACGTACAAGCAATCGTTTAATTCCAACATTAGACCACTAGGAAAGACTAAACTATAAGTTCTGATTGCCAAAGCTGCAACAGGTGCACCATTGCCGACTCGGAGTTCAATCTCGCCTCGAGCTAACCGTCTACTCTGCTTCAGTCCCTGCATGGTAGTTAGGGGTGTGCATTAACAAGTCCAGACCGGATTTTAGACCTGAACCGGACCGGAATGGACCGGTCTGGACCGGTCCGGAATTTTCAGGTCCAGTCTTCGGTCCTCCAAAATTTAGGATTCCGAGATTCCGGTCCGGTCTAAACCCGGAATTATCCGGTCCGGACCGGTATATAATAAAATATTAATTTTTTTAAATAAATAGTTAATTAATTAGACCATTATCCTTTCAAATTTCTTCTTTTTTCAATTTTATTAGGCTCCTAGCATGATATGTTACTTAATTTCAATTTTTACTTTAAGTATTTTTTATTTAATTTTTTTCTTTGAAGTTTGAACTTTGGTTTGAGATTTTTTTCATAGATTTTGTAGTGTTATGAACTTATGAATTTAACAATTGCCCTCCCAAGTGAATTGTTATTGTTATAAATTTGGGGATTGATGGTATTACATATATATTTACATATACAATTTAGATATGATTTTTTTATAATGAAAAATAGGTCATTTATNAATTTTATTAGGCTCCTAGCATGATATGTTACTTAATTTCAATTTTTACTTTAAGTATTTTTTATTTAATTTTTTTCTTTGAAGTTTGAACTTTGGTTTGAGATTTTTTTCATAGATTTTGTAGTGTTATGAACTTATGAATTTAACAATTGCCCTCCCAAGTGAATTGTTATTGTTATAAATTTGGGGATTGATGGTATTACATATATATTTACATATACAATTTAGATATGATTTTTTTATAATGAAAAATAGGTCATTTATGTTTAAATTCCGGTCCATAATAGGGTAAACCCGGACTGGACCGGTGCACACCCCTAATGGTAGTACTGATATGAGACCCACATCCAGTATCTAGTACCCATGATGAAGATATAGACATGTTAACTTCTATAACATACACCTCAGAAGAAATGGTCGTACCTTCCTTCTTCTTGGTTGCGAGGTATGTCTTGCAGTTTCTCCTCCAGTGGCCTGCCTTACCACAGTGATGACATTTGCCCTTTGCAACTCCTCCTACGGGTTTCTGGGTTGCAAAAGAAGTGGACTTCGATTTAGGCTTTCCGACCGTCCTAGCCTTAATCTTAATCCCTTTCTTCGGCTTCCCCTTTCCGCCTTGGACCATAAGGAAGGAAGCACCCTTGCCCTTAGTAAGGTTCTCCTCCGCAGTCTGGAGCATTTTAAGAAGCTCCGGAAGGGGTTTGTCAAGATCATGCATCATGTAGTTCATGACAAAACCCTTATACAGCTCAGGGAGTGACTGCAGGATCAGGTCCGTTGCGAGCTCCTTCTGCAAGGAGAACCCGAGTTTCTCTAGATTGGTTATGTAACCAATCATTTTGAGAACGTGCGGACCGACCGGGTTCCCTGAAGAGAGCTTGCAACTAAAGAGAGCCTTACTCACGAGAAAACGTTCATGCCTGCTGGTATAGCTGTCGCAAGGCCACGATCATCTTGTGGGCCTTCATGTCCTCGTGCTGTTTTTGCAGCTCGGATATCATGGTAGCCAGCATGACACAGCTAACCTGGTTGTCATCCTTAACGTGTTTCTCGTAGGCATCTTTAACTGCTTTCGGGGCGTTAGCGGGAGGGGCAGGAGGAATGGGCTTTTCGAGCACATACTCTTTCTCATCCATGCGGAGAACAATGGAGAGATTGCGTTGCCATTCAACAAAGTTTGTTCCGTTCAATTTATCTTTATCCAGAATGGAACGCAGGGCGAGGTTGTTTGTGTTGTTGTTTGCCATCTACAGAATTTTGCGAAGATAGTTATTATCATGAATTAAGTATCTAATAGGTCTTTATTAAATACTCTCCCACTATTTCTAACAAGTCAACTACCCTCAGGTACGGAACCTATTGACTTGGGGTCTCTATTTGAAGAATACCCTAGCAGGCCAAGATCCAGATTTTGCTTAACTATAGTTGTGCTTTGCATCTTGCCCTACAGTCAAGTTATTTAGGTAGGAATTCATTCCAATTGCAATCGTTATTACAACTCTTGGTTCGGTGGATTCTTTTAAATAAAATTCTTAATTGGGCCAGATCCATATTTCATTTAACTATAGTTGTGCTTTGCATCTTGCCCTACAGTTAAATTATTTCTAGTAGGAATAAATTCCAATTGTAACAATTTACAACTCTGGTTGGATGATCTGATTTTATTTATTGATCCTACCGCAGTGCCCTAAGTCTCTCATCCTTATGACCAGGACTTAGTTAAGACTAACCCGGGGCGAGTCAGTACCCTAGTTACGGGTTTCGCGTATAACCAACGTAAACCGGGCGTGTCACTTGGGTGAGTCAGTTACCGATCTAAATTGGGTTTGACGAGTGACGGGGCGTCGGGGTGGCACAGACTTAAAATTATGAGGGATTTATTACGCAGTCTTGCCTATGGCATACACCGCGCGCATGCACTAGCGAAAATCACATACATGCATACATTCATTCATACATCACATGCATAAAAGTAAACGTGAAATGATTGTGGCTCCTAAAGAAAAACAAACGACAGTGCCTTGATCAAGAGATCTCTATCTCCGGCCCATCACGTCTTCCTTAGGATTCTCTATCACGAACGGACTTCGTCTTCTTATCTTCTTATAATTTTCGAGAGAAAAGAACATTTGAGGTAAAGAAGAGAATTACATCCAGAGTATAGAGATGAGGCACGACACGCAGGCCGTATTTAAAATTACAACAAATATAACTAAGCCACAATCATCCACCATGCAATAAAACATACAAGCATCACATGCATCACATCATACATATTAAAGCATACACCGGGCGAACCGCGCTCGCCCCAAACCTAGTTTATTCTATTCTACGGAATAAACTATCAACAATAAATTAATTAAACTAGCAAGTAATTTAATTAAAAATCATAAAATACTTTAAATTTCCAGAATGTTAGAAATTTGATTTTCTAAATTCCAGAAAATAAAATATTTCATATTTACCGTATACATATACATACATACATACATACATACATACATACATACATACATATATATATATATATATATATATTCGAAAAAGGGATTTTATTTCGAATTAAATACATATATGTTTTCTAAATTAGAAAATAATTATTGGAGACTCCCAGTAAACTTTATTAATCTGGAAATCCAAAAATTCCAGAATGAATAAAATTTAAAATTTTGAAAATGTTATGAAATTAATGATTGTTCATTTATTCAATTAATCACGACTAATTTCTAGAATAATAGATTAAGACACTCATTGATGAGTATCAATTATGTACAGTACTTCCCACTTGTATTTGTATCCATACTAAGGCCTAATCCCTACATTGTAATCACCATTAAGAATAAGAAGAAGAGTGAAGAGTTAATAGAGAGTAGAAATCAGAAATATATTATATCTATTCTCATAATCTCTCAGTAGTTTTTCTCTCATTTTACAACACGTTATCAGCACGAATTGCTCAAAATCCCAGAATCCTTGTTCTTCTCAGAAGGTATATTATTATTATTATTATAATATTATTATAAATATAATAATATTATTTAAATAACAAAGTATTTAAATAATAAAAAGAAAAACTTGGTTGTTTTTAACATGGAAGACATACTACATACGGAGTATTTGGCTTTGTTTGTCTTCTTTTATTTGATTGTTTTTAATAATAAATAAATCGTAGAATATACTTTAAGACATTAATAGATTACAAACTAGTGATTTGTCTTTTTCTTTTTGTTTTGAATATGTTGTTATTCTTTTAAATGACATGGAGTACAAATCATTACACATTACTTTGTCCTTTTCTTTTTGATATTGAAATTCGAATACGTATATATACATTTTGATTAACATGGAATTAAAAAATAATAATCATACTCGCCACTAAAGAAATATGCGACCCACCCTTCTTTTTTTTACAAAGTAAAAAAAATAATAAGCTAACAAATTTAATTTATCTTGTAGTTTATTCCATGGCCAACATCACCAAAAGAGAATTCGACATTCTTGATTTATCCGGTCAAAGGTACCTGGAATGGAGGGTTGATGCACTTGCTCACCTCAAGGCTAATGGCCTCGAAAATACAATTGCTGCTAACAATACATCATCATCTCAGCAAAAGGCAAAAGCCATAATTTTCCTTCGCCACCATCTTCATGAAAGTTTAAAATCTGAATATTTATTGGTGGAAGATTCGAAGAAATTATGGGATAATCTCCAAGAGAGATACGGACATCAACAAAAGGTCCTATTGCCAAGAGCTCAATATGAATGGATCAATTTAAGATTCCAAGATTTCAAATCTGTTTGTGACTATAATTCTGCTATTTTTAAAGTCACGACCACATTAAAATTATGTGGACATAATATCACTGACCATGACATGTTGGAGAAAACTTTTTCCACCATGCATATGTCAAATGTGATATTACAGCAGCAATACAGAGAAAGGGGCTTTAAAAAGTATTCTGAGTTAATCTCAGTATTACTTGTTGCTGAGCAGAATAATGAGCTCTTAATGAAAAATCATAACATGAGGCCCACCGGTTGTAGCCCTACAAATTTTGGCCATCCTGATCATGGTTCAGCACCAGAATCAAATGTTATCCAAGGTGGTGCTCGCGGATACTTTAAACGTGGACGCGGAAATAACCGCAACAAAGGGCCGAATAGGGGCTATGAAAATCCAAATGGATCATCCTCCAAAGGAAAAGGAAAATTCAAACCACCACAGGCTAAAACTTATGAAAAGCCAAAACCAAGTGGTGAATGCTACAAATGTGGCATAAAAGGACACTGGGCGAATGAATGTCGAACGGCAAAACATTTGGTTAAATTATACCAGGCTTCCACAAAAGGAAAAGGGAAAAATGTGGAAGCTAATTATGCTGATGATATCAATCCAATTTTGCCTAAATTTGACGTGTCCGATTTCTACATGGATGATGCTGAAATTGGTGATGAAGTGAC